TGACCTCGTGATCCACCTGCCTCGGCCTCCCAAAGTGCTGGGATTACAGGCGTGAGCAACCATGCCCGGCCCCTCCAGTCATATTTCTGTAGGGCTGTCCATACTTTATTAAGCTAGGCCAGGTGTGGTGGCTCATACCTGTAATCCCAGAACTTTGGGAGGCCAAGGCAGGTGGATTACTTGAGGTCAGGAGTTCAAGACCAGCCTGGGCAACATGGTGAAACCCCATCTCTACTGAAAATACAAAAATTAGCTGGGCATTGTGGTGGACGCCTGTAATCCCAGCTACTCGGGAGGCTGAGGCAGGAGAATCACTTGAACCAGCGAGGCAGTGATTGCAGTGAGCCAAGATGGCACCACTGCACTCTGGTCTGGATGATGGAGTGAGACTCCGTCTCAAAACAACAACAACAACAACAACAAAACTTTATTAAACTAAACATAGAAGTAGACGATTTCCTCTGTAACTTTGGGTCATCATTCTAAAGACTCTCATATACACGTTATATATGAGAGTATAGAAATACAGATATATGTATATGCCTTTTCTTCTGTTAATCAACCAACCTCATGTCAATAATTCTTCAACAAACCTTTAGGGGGTGAAGAACCTTGGCCTTCTACATAATCCATTGTATGACCATGGTTCGCTTATCCAGTCACTTGTTGATGGGCAAATTTGTTATATTTATTTCCCAATTGTTTTTATATTTTCTATTTCATTGATTTTCACTTATTTATTTGAGTTCCTTCCTTTTGTTTTTTTTTTTTCTTGTTGTTGTTCGTTTGTTTGTTTTTTGAGATGGAGTCTTGCTCCGTCGCCCAGGCTGGAGTGCAGTGGTATAATCTCGACTCACTGCGACCTCTACCTCTTGTGTTCAAGAGACTCTCCTGTCTCAGCCTCCCTAGTAGTTGGGACTACAGGCACCAGCGATCACATCTGGCTAATTTTTGTATTTTTAGTAGAGATGGGGTTTCACCATGTTGGTCAGGCTGGTCTTGAACTCCTGACCTCAGGCAATCCGCCTGCCCCAG